ATATCAGTAGCTGAAACATCGTTTGTCAGTGCCCTGCTAGACATAACCAGACATAACTCATGCTCTTTGTAATTTTCATGCTTTTATCAGTCATTTAGATAAAGAACAAATTTAGGCAGGCAATAAATAATCTATTACTCATCGGTTTCAACGTCACCAAGTGATAAGTTTAGTAGAAAAACCTTTGTATTCAAGATCTTTGTTGGGATGTAAATGTAAGATCTACCCGATACCGTTTATTGGTTGGGTGTGAGCATGCTTAACTGAACTAAAACAAGATCTTAGTATCGCGAAGAGTATATTAACTTTTTTAAATAAATATTCTATTACTTTAGTATTTTATTTTGACACCAGTAGGTCTATTTTACTACATCAAAGCTAGCATCTAAGCGCCAAGGGCTTTATATTAATATAGCATGCTGAAGAGATTCGAAACACTGATAGACTAAATGACTGATTATTCCGTCGACGGACTACAAAGTTATCCATCTTTACTATCAACTTTAGGCTTGCTTTATTATGGGTCCGATCAGAGACAAGGATTCTATCTTGTTCCAGCTCCAGTGTCTAGCAATAGCGAAAAGAGCTGGGAAATTTTCATCGTGTGTCCACTGTAAGGACATCGCCACTATAAACGAGCAATTTTTAGACACCAATTAATAATTTATAGGTCAATGTGATAACTAAGTTAGGTGGATCGATGATAATATGTTAACTATGGATAAATTCTAGCCTAAATAACTGTAGTATATCGTTGTCTGGAAGTGACCAAAGACCAAATAAGCTATATCCGTATCATGAAGCTTTTTACAAAGATAGTTTTTAGTTCATTTCATTGAAAATGTTAAGATGACTTTCATATGCATAACAATTTACTATCTCATCATAATTTGATTTAAATAGAAATTTTTTTTTCCACATTTGGTCATAACTTATTTATATTAGGGCCTTCATATATGGTGAACTCTGCAGAAAATGAGGTTTTCCCTCCAAGTATTCATGTTTTCCTTGGCGTTAACGCCTTGAGCCAGCAAATGTTTCTATGATATTCTAAATATGTAAGCTTATAATGAATCAATTGACAAGTCCTATATCACTTCTCCGTCCATAATTGTTAATTTTACCCTTTATAGAGATGCCATGTTTTATTAAAACGACTATTCATAAACGAAATCTAGATCTACATAGTTAAAATATAGTTTAAGAGCTCTTTCTTATTTTTAAAATCACGTTTTACTATAGTTTAACTGCATTCCGATGGATAGTGCCAGCTGAAGGGCAGACGATATTGAGGATCCGATTTCAATCGGCTGAAGTTGGTCAATTCGACCAAGTCTTGACATTCGAAGTGGTTGGTGTTCGAAGACAGTATCGCATTTTTTTGCGTGGAATTTGTGCATTTCCTACTATTTCTGCTGATCCTAAGTGAGTTAATAAAAGAGACTTTTTTCTTTTTATTTCAAGACAAAAATAGCAAATTACTATGCCAGTTCTATGAATAGAAAGTTCTTGCCTTTTATAAACTTGGCATATTTTAGATATTTTAATAATATTGATAATGCCTTGCTAGGATAATAAAAGAACGAAAATGGAAAAATTATTTCTTTTATGCCTTGCCAAATTTACCGAATTGAAATGTGGCTTTCTTGACTCGCCTTACGACAGTCAACTCCAGTCTGAAATTAACTTTATAGGAAATGTTTTATTCCTCTTACTTGCCTCCAGTTATATATATATATTTATTTATATATAACATTTTAGATTACACTTATGTCGTAATTCTGAAATGATCTGATCTGTTTTAACCTATTAAGTGTATAGGAATTATTAGTCCTAGAAGTTGCTTAGGACCAATTTGTCTAAAAAGTTGGGTGGTTGAAATGTAAGTGAAGTTTGAATGTGCTGTCGTGAGGAAGGTGAATAAACACTTAAAATAAGCCGGAATAGAACAACCGATACTGTTCTCTTGAGTGGTTCATATGACGGACACTTAAAGAGTCCAACAGGGATGAAGTGTTGATTTACCGTAATTCTCTGAGCAAGTTTAGTTTGCCTTTGTGGGACATAAGTAGTCCTGTAGATACTGACTTAATAACAAGTTTGTGAGAGGACTTTGCCTGGGATATATACGTTGTATGAGCATGGCCTTCCCTACACGAAAGTACAACCGTCTCGTTCCTTGGCAGATGGAGAGATAAGAAGAAGCTTCGTGAACAGACTTGGAGGCGGCTCAAGAAGAAGCGCCCTATCGACATCCAGGCTGAGGGCTGGTTCAGTAAAGGATAAGAAGCTCTCCTGATGAGATGCTTCCTATTTTAGTTCGAGTGGAGCTACATCGATCGTGAAACGAGCATGACGCGTGATGATAGGTCTCAAGGATGGCGTGCAAGAATAGCGCTAAAAGCTATTTCACGAGATCCATAACAATTGAGAGGCTGCCGTGCAGTAGTGACTTCACTTGATAATTCTTCTTACTTGGCTTTTTTGTTACAAGTCAATATGGTGAATAAGGATTGAATGGTCTTATTGCGAAAGATCACAGTCAAATAGGTGCAATGATAGACTAAGTACGTCAGGCGAGAGCTGGTTGGTTGATGATCAGATAGTTGAGGATGAGAGGTGTTCGAAAATAGTCTTTGCGTAAAATGATCGTTGGAAGATAGACGCGAGTTTTAGATCACTAGAGAAAGCGTTGTAATGAGAAGGCATAGAGGCAATTAAATAAAATGAGGACAAAAAACATATTATTTTTGGCTAGTTTTTTAGTTTACGTTGGGCCGATTTCATAAGACGAGTTGTGTTAATAAAGCTATCTAAACATTTTGGCAGAAGAATGAATGATAGCCAAGAAGAAACAGGTTGGTGGGACTCGACTTTCCATTTCAAAGTAAAGGTTGGTTGGAAGGAATTTGCTCTCACCAGAAAACGAATGAGGATTGCCGCAAAATGAAGATTGTTGGCCTGTGCGAAGAAGTTCTTGATTCAACTTTCTGTGACTCCGATGAACCTGTGTTAAGCCTTTGGCTGTCATGTGAGAGACATCTTCGGACCAAGAAACCATACTTTACGAAACATTGCGAACTTGAAAATTTCTATCGAAGGTATGAAGACCTAGATGGTGTGGCCTTTTGTGTGGTTGCAGTCTCCTTTCGTTGTATAGAGGTTGTTTGACCTTGTTTTCGCGACATGGTCATATTGGTAGGAAAACTTATTGGAACTCACCTAGTCCGGGGTCCATTGTCTGCATGATCATTTCCAAAGTTAAACCGTGGACGTGGTATATTCCCAAACGTTTCGCCGGAATCGTAGTCGGCATCGTCAGTGAGTATCGCCATTCTTAGCACCACACAAAAACTCGTCAAAGAAACAAGGAAAGCCGATCTTTTTGACGAGTTGTTGTGTGGTGCTAAGAATGGCGATACTCACTGACAATGCCGACTATGATGCCGGCGAAACGTTTGGGAATGTACCACGTCCACGGTTCAACTTCGTAAATGATCATGCAGACAATTTACAATTTCTGTTAACCGTCAAAGAAAGAATATGAACTAATTATGTAAAAAAATGCTTTCATTCTTTTGTTACAATAAGCTTTTTTCAATGACTATTTCAATTGTAGGATTGTATTCCCTCGCTGCAAGAAGAAGCAAAAGGAAGATGAGATTATCCAAAAAATGTATATACTTTCTAAAAAGCTCTTCGAATTTGGTCCGCTCTTGATAGAGAAAACCAAAGAGAGGTGAGAAATTTCTCTTACTTGCCCAGAATCAATCAGTAGCTCAACATAATTATGATTCTCAAACTTAGCTTTCCTCTTTTAGTGTTAATTGTAGGTTTTTTTGATCAGAAAACAATTTTGATGTCCTAAACAGTTTTGTGATCATGTTTCATTTTGGGATGCTTCAGTTTTATTGACTACCTCTCTTTTAGCCTCATATGTCAAGTATCATGAGAATCACAAGCCCATAAACAGGTCTAGCAACGAAATCATGAAGCATGTTTCTAGTAGGTTGACTATGTGCATGATTTTCCCCTATTCTAAAGACAGCTTTACTAATGGTGCCATTCCCGTTCCATTATCCATCTCCCAGTTAGTTTACTTCTTATTCAGCAATCACGACAGTATGCCCTGAATGGCTATATGTAGTGAATAAGATAAAAATAAGCCTCTAGGTGTAACGTAGTGAGATATTATTTCCCACGAAATAAATAAGGTTTTATAACCACGTTATGCACACTATAATCATTAAAAATATTTTATTTTTTAAATAATGCTACCAATACTAATCAGAGTAGAGGAGAATAATTTCGAGGACAATATGACTCAATTGCTCATTCACAACCCTTCACCAATGTCCGCCGACATCCAATTTGCTCTTCTCAATGATGCTCTTTCAGAGCACTTCTCTGTCCGGCCTTTATCACTAACTCTTCCATCGGGGGAATCACATCAAGTCACGATATATGCATTCCCACGAGCTATCGGCCGCGTCGAGGACTCTCTAGTCTGTTGCATCCGAGAAAACCCTGAGCCAGTCGTCTTTCGGCTTGCCTGTAACGGGGTCTTGCCAGAGCTCGAGATTGACAAACGTGTGCTGCATTTCGATAGAGCTCTGATACAAAGGTAAGGTTGCAACTTTATTTATGCTAGGCATTGTAGACCTTGATGCTTTACCACAGGCGTAATTTTCCTTAAGGGAACTAGCGGACTTCTCCCACTGACAGATGTTAATCTCTCCGCCTTGCTATTGAAGTATTTTGATTACACTATTCTTATCTTATAATGCAGAGAAAATTGATCTATGATGCATGAACCTAAAGTAATTTGTAAATTTGGTTGTATGCTTCAGGAAGTTCCTGCCTCTTGATATGTTCACAGATGCACACACATACATATACATATACACATAATAATATGGAAAACCGCTTTCTCTTGCAAAAGTATGAATGCTGAAGATCTCACAATTAGACAATTTTAGTTTTATTTAAGTCGGCCTTCCTGAGTCAAGAACATTGACCGTATTATATTCGTATTGAGTAGGTTACGAAACTAAAGATAGATCTGGAGAAATTTATTCAGCCTAAGTTGTCTAATATGATGAAAAACTGATAATTGGATTTTTCCACAATAATTTGAGTAGGCCTTACGTTTCCATTAACCTTTACCCAGCCTTGTTTACACAAAGTATTCTAATCCAGGGTGAACTGCAATTTCTACCTCGACTAGGTCTCATCTGCAACCACAGCAGAAATCGAATCATGGTAGTACAGCGTATACTTTGGTCATGTTACCACTATGACAAACGGCTCCTAGTGCAAATCTCTCACATAACAACAGTAATAATCAAATAAAGTTAGGCCTCTCTCATATCACAATTTATGGTGGGTTGTCGATGGACGGTCCCTACAGTCGACTACAATACTTGAATCCAATTTGAGCACTTCATCACCTTAAGCCACCTAGGCTAGCAAGAGTTCTTATTCAGGATCTACTGATGGTCGCGAAATCTTACTTAAATCGAATTCAATTAGCGTTTTTGTATTGCAATGGCAAATACATCTTTGCTTCAGTGACAATCTCATCTCAAAAATGTAATATTGGAGGAGCCAAGGCGAGGTTGAAATTGCAGTCCATTCTGAACGATAATACTTCTTGGATGCAAGGCTAAGTGTAAGTTACTTCATTCATTTTTCAATTGACTCTCTCATAGCCTTGCCTCTAGGTCTCATTGGCACCCACGGCGATACTCAAAGCCTGGTAGGACAGCGTTCAGTATCGACACTTTACCAATTACGTCACACTTCTACGAATGCTCCTGGGTCACAGACCAGAAGTGAAGTTCCAGAAAGCCTAGGCATTTCCCATATCACATTTCCATGATAGGATTGTCGACGAACCAAAGTTGTATTTGCTAAAGTAATTGATTACATATTTATTTTGTGTTTTATAGTAGATTTTTGAGACTACTATTTTATCATATATAAGAACTGTACTCACCATAGTTCGTTAAAAGTGATAAAGGACTAGTAATTGAATTTTCCCACAATTATATGAATAGGCCTCATTTTTTGATCGAATTTCCCATGGCTCTGCTTCCCAAAAGGTATTCTTATCCTGGCTAGACTATAATTTCGATGATAAAAATAACTTCTGTTCTGTGATCCAGGGCCAGTCGTGGAAGTGTGGCGGAGTCTTTAACGGGTCGAGATTCAACACTGTGCTAACCAAGTACGAGTCCCGCTGTGGATGATGATGAGACCTAAACAAGATCGAAGCAGCAGTCAACCCTGGATGAGAATATCTTTGGGGAAGTAAGGCTATTTGGAATCCAATAGAAAAATAAGGAATACTTACAAAATTGTGCGAAAATTTAACTACTAGTCGCTTATCACCTTATATGAAATTTGGTAACCTTTTCTATCATTATATTATCTTGAAAGTTACTATGGTGCAGTGATATGAGATAATACGTATTACTTTATATAGTATAATATCTCGAGTCATGGTTTAATGTAGTATCATTTTTTCCTAGTTTGCCAAAATGCTGATTTTTTTATTAGGCCTATTATGGCTTAACTCCTTTTTATTTTTTACACCGTAGGCCAGCAGATAAGATGAATTTAAGAATTGGGTTGATCTCGTTTTCGCAACTTGGTCTTGTTGTCAGGGCAACTTAGTTAAGCGCACCTTGTCAGAAGTCCTCTACCATAGAAGTTATCATAATTCCCAACATTAGCCAGGGATCATAATACATTCTCCGACGCTTCGCCGGCATCTTAGTCGACATCATCAGTGAGTTTTGCCATTCTCCGCACAAAGCTACAAACTTGTCAGAGAGATAAAGCGAAACGTCTGTGAATGTACCAAGTCCACGGTCTGATGCTAGGATTTATGATAACTACTATTGCAGAGGACTTCGGACAAGGTGTGTTCTACTAAGTAGCCCTGACAACAAAACCCAGTTGCGACAACGAGGTTAACCCACATCTATGAGTTGAAAGGAGAATGCGACCATACCGAGGATCACACCATCTTGGTCTTCATATCTAAGATGCATTTAATTTCGTAGATTTTGTAGGCCAGGTATGCATCATGCGCAGTCCATTAATCAGAAGGATAGACCAGCATAATTTCATTTGATTTCTATAGGGTGAGGACGCAACTCCGAGGCGATCTAAAATAGTGTACTCCCTACCAGATATGAGATACAGGGGAATTAATCTGCAAAGCGACTTGGCTTAAATGTGAGTCCTTTATTTCTCAGGCCTTGTAGAGCAAGCAAACTTTGGCATTTAGTCACGGTGAGTAGGTTTTGATAAAATACTAGACACTGTTGGATATCACTTAGCCTTGCTTCTCAAATGGTATACCCACCTTATGTGATCTAGACTGACTACATCTCTAGTTCAAGATCTACTGATAGTATCTAAACCTACTAATTTTGAATATAAGTAATTTACTTGATTGTAATGGAAAAATACTGGTTCGCCTTAGTGACAATCTCAGTATTTTATGTCATATTTGAGAAGCCTGGCTTCCCTTGTAATTCATATCTGTCCTTTGATCCGCATGGCACTCGTGCGAGTGTAGCGTAGTGTTAACCTGTCGAAAATAAGCTGTGCTCTTACAGGGTTCTAATACCTTCGGATATGTTGATGAGGCCCAGACCATGGTGAAACTGCAGTCCAGTCCAGCCAGGATGCCAACACTCTTTGACAAACTAGCCTAAGGGAAATTCAATGGCGTCGTGAGGCTTAGCTATAACAGTGTGTGAAATTTTAACTCAAACTTTTATCATTTAATGGGACCTAGGATGAGTTAAGCTCTTTTTCAATATATGATACATAGTCTTTTAAGACAGACTTACTAATAGTATTTATTTTTCGAATTAGGTATTGTTTTTCGTGACTACCAGTAAATCAGTTATAAGATGTATTCACCCTATTTCGTTTAAGGTGATGA